CGCAATGGCCGGTGAAGGGAAGTTATAAGTGTGCTATACAGTGCTGTGTGTGTATGGTGAGGGGTAGTAGGCTACGCAGGTTAGCTTAATGCGGGGGAGAGCTGGAGAGGGTTGTGTGTGGGCTATCGGTGAGAGAGGGAGTAGTGGGCGTGAGAGAAAGAGAGCTTCGGTATGAGAGAGAGAGAGAGAGAGAGCTTGGGTATGGCGGGTATGATGGCTAGCAATTTTTTCTACTCTTTAAGGTGACAATGAATTGTGTTTTTATACTAAAAAAATGCATGGGTGGCTTTTATGTGTAGGGTTTTGGGCTAAATGTCATTTTAGTCCTTGGTTTCTTCCTATGCATTAATTTGAGGTTGATTTTGCTTCTTCTTTTTTGTTTTAATTTGAGCCTCCCAAATAATTGATACTTCTTTTTTATTATTATTAACCTAATTGGTCATTTTTTTCTTCATTTTCATTTTTGCTTTTTTATATATTTTTTTTGTTTTTTTGTTTTTACAAAAATGAAAATTAAGGAAAAAGCTATGAAAGGTGAAATTTTGGGTGACAACACCATGTAAGTGGATATGCCCACAAATGATATATATATATATATATATATATCTCTGTGTGTGTGTGTGTGTATATATATATATATACTAGAAAAATCATAAGAATTCACAATCCATCTCTCTTGCCCATATTTGAGAATCGAAAAAAATTTATATGATCATGATCGAACAAGACTAATAACCAAGTTCGAGATCACACTCGTGATAAGTTGACATGAGGACTAAATCGTATGATAACCATGCTCGTAAAAGGTAATTATAGATTAATTAATCCTCTAAGATTGCCAACATATCTAGGAATTTATTGAGTCACACGCATAAGTTTAAGTATTCACATTATTAAAGAGAAGTAAAGATGTTGGAAAAAGTTTTCAATTTTGAAAAAAATTTCTAAAAATGGAAGGTTTCCTATTTTAGAAATCAGTTTCCTAATTTGGAAGTAATAACCTAAAATGAAAATTAGTTTCCTAATTTAGGTTTAAGGGTAATTTGAGAAATTGTTTCCTAATGTGGGCCTTCTAAAATTATCTAACCTAATTTATTTTGATAGTCCAAATTAATTAGTTAGGCCAAAATAGCTTAGGGCAATAAGTTTAATCAAAAGCCTCGAAAGATATTTTGGGAGCAAGATAAACATGAGCCTTATTGGATAAGGATGAATGTTTTAAAGATAAGGTCAAAAAACCCACATGTAAAATAACTCCTAATCCTTGAATGATTAGGAAGCAACAACCTAGAGTCATTTAGGGACTCATTGCTCGCCCCTTCCTTGTCCTTAGAGGATAAGGAAGTCTCTCCTATAAATATGTGGGAGATAGGTGTGGCAAAAGTGTATATATCATATAAGAGAGAAAAAAATGACAAAAGGGAAAAATAAGTTAGGGTACACGACTTGAGTAGAAAATTAAGGAGAAAATAGTTTTCTCTCTTCCTAAAAATAAACATGCTACTTTCCTCTCTCCTTTGAGTTATTGCAAAGTTTCTTTGATTTGATTTATAAAAAAAACCACTAAACAAGTCGGAAAAAGTGAAACTAGCACTCCATCAATTTTGAGTGCTTCTTATGTAGTGCTTGGACCGCATGGATTATCAATAGAGGTCGACACTTGGATAGATCTTTTTGCCAAGGTTTAAATCTGCATTACAAGAGATAATTCTTTATTTAGAGCTTTAATTCATGAATATATGGTTAGTTAATTCAATAGCATTATATTGAGCCCTTTAGATAGAGAAAATTTTTGTTTTATTCCGCACCTCTATAAGATCATTGATCCTTCAATACCCATTCCATTTTATCTTTTCTTTCGGACCGGGCCCAACCCATAATTTTCTCCCTCGAGCCAAGCTCGAGCACTATTAAAGGACTATCTCACCTAAAAACTTAAGCCGATAGGTAAGACCCTAGAATATAATGTATATTAATTTCTAACACATCCCCTAAAGTAGTGAAAGCCCTAACATTTGGGCTTGAAACTTGTACAAGTCCACATTGCCTTGTGTTTAATAGTTGAGAAATTAGGGATGGTGAGACTTAAACTCGTGAGCTCTTGGTCAACCAAGCTCTAATATCATATTAAAAGATTATCTCATATAAAAGCTTAAGCCGATAGATGAGGCCCTAAAATATAATTTATATTAATCTCTAACAAGGGCAACCCTCTTTTAAGTTTGCTTTTCCTTTCTTTCTTTTCTTTTTCTCTTCTTTTCTTTCCTTTCCTTCTTTCCAACTTCTTAGACCAAATGTCCAGTTCATCAATATCTCGAGAATTCTATTCCATTGAATGGAATTCCTCTAATGATACCTAAGCGGTTCTTAAGCTTACTCGACCTCCTTATAGTTTCCCTTTCTTGGATAGTTTGATGAATTTGAGTCCTTGGACTCAATCAATAACAAAGACAATGCCACTCGTCATTTTTCTTTGCTCAAATGGAAAATGAAGTAAAGACCGAATAATATGACCAAAGGAAAGGATTTTGGTTACTTGAAGCAAGTTTGAATGATTGGGATGAACTTGAAAGGTTGAGTGTGGTTGCCTTGATTTCCTCTCGCTTGTTGGTGATTGAAGATGACTCGGTGGATGGGGTTTGTGAGGACTATGCGATCTAGAACCCGTAGGGTATGTTGTTGTTGTCATTAAGAATTGGACAAATGTTTGAAGAGGTTGATTTCTAGTATTCTTGAAACCCAAAACTTGAAGAACAAAAGCCTAAAGCTTCAAAAGAAAATCTAGAAATTAAACTAAAAACTAGAAAAATTAAATACCTAGATTCCTCTCTCTTCACCCTTTGCTTTGATTTTCTCTTTTCTCCTTTGATCCTCCTTTCCTGGACTAAAATCTCCTCTTATTTATACCGACTTTTTGCCGATAAAATCAATTTTCATTTCTTTCCTTTATTTTCGGTCGTTCAATTAAAAACCTTATCCCTTCATTCTATTATATTCTCTAATCGTTCTTATCCTTATCATTTATTGTAACACGACTTGCGGACCAAGCAAATTAGAAGAATTAGTGAATTGGTTGGTAATCAAATTGGTTAGAAAACCAAAAAGCATCAAAACCATTCTTGGTTTTGAATTGTAAGAGATAGTGAACGAAATGGCAATTTGCTAGATCAATCCCTCAATTTTCTAAATTTTTCAATCACATCCTCTCGATTCCTTTCAATTATGACCTTAATTCATCCCGATTTTTATTCATTTTAAACCTTTTTTGGCTTCCAATTTCAAGCTAGTTTAATGTAATTATTCCCTTGATTAAACCTATCCCATAAATTTTTATTTTTTATTAATTTTTTTATATTTTGTTTTTTTATTTGTAAGTACTTAAAAAAATAAAACAAACAAGATAAAAATAAATGAAAAATGAAATAAAAATTAAGCAACAACTAAAACAATAAATAAAGAAGGATGATAAAATAATAATAATAATAATAAAAGTAAAAAGGATAAAATTAGGAAAATATATATATAACTCAAAATTTGGATTATAATAGAAAATATGAATAAACAATGCTGATATGATGTAATAATTAAAAGCTTTTCTTAAACTCTCTCTGTGTGTGTGTCTCCGGCGGCGCGCCGGGGAGGGGGGGGATCTTTTTGGGATCGAGAGATTTAATAATCCTGCAAAATTGGCCTCATAAAAAAATCCACTCTTTATATGGAAGGGCCACATGACAAATTGCTAGGGTTAGTTGCTGGAAATGAAGAATGTGCATTTATTGAAGGCATGGTTTCATGAAGTGCCTATCACGTTGTCACTAAATCTGCACATGTGTTAATAATTTTTAGATATTCGTCTAAAGAGATCCTGAAGTTATAGAAATATGTCAGTGGTTGTTATACGCAAATGAAAAAGACCAAATTGCGCTCAACCCCATGCAAACGAATAATTGTAAAGGCACACATCTGCATCATCTCTTGGATGCTGCTTCTAAAGTTTGAACCTAAAAAGTCATCCTAAAGTTTGAACCTAACAAGTCAATAAAGATAGCAAATCTTTATAACCACCAAATGAACTCGTCGGGATATAGATATCAACTTTCTCGCATTTAAATGTATACGGAAATGTATCTTTGCGTTTAACGCATTGCGATTTTTGCGATTTTCTTACTTAAGTAATCTAACTTAGAACCCCAAATCTACAGGATTTTTAATTAGCTTTCATTATCCTAAATTTTCTCAATCAATCCAAAATGATAAGAATGGAAACAATTTATCTCTATTATTTTATTTATTACGTAATCCGTATCATTAAATTTAAACTTAATTACAATATTTGGAACATGACTCATCATATTTTCTTAAAACATTAGAGGATCTCATTTTTAGAATATATTTATTCAAATATTTTTTCAGTGCATTTTCGATTTTATTTACTAAAATAGTGTACTATTGCAATGTAGGTTCCATTATATATGTTTGCCTACATTAAAATTGTGATGTAGGATCCCATTCCTTTAATGTAATATTTTAGGAAATAAAATTAAAAAATACACTATTGTAGGGTAAATATATATATATATATATTTTACCCTACAATGTTGTATTTTTTAATTATATATATATATATATATATATATTGAAAATGGAAAGATGGTTTATGATTTATAAGAGAATATGATGGTTCATGTTACAAATCTCGTAATTAATTATAAATTTAATGATTTTGATTAGGTAGAAGAAATAAAATAATAAAAAGTTTAATAGTTTTCATTTTTATCGTACATTAAACCACAAAACATTGTTTTGAATTTAATCATTCCTTTTTTATCAAGTAAAATTAATTCATTTCTTTTTTCTGAGATTTTCTTTCCAAAATCCTATCCTTACATGCACCACGTCAACAAAGTCGAATCAACCCTATAAATACCACACCATAGCCATTTCCCTCTCATTCATTTCACGCAATTCCTACAAATACCTGGAACGGCAAAACCATTACAATGAAAGGACAAACACTAGCCCTCTCCCTCTCCCTCCTCTTCATCGCCATAACTGTCGTGGCGATTGATGCCGACTCATGGGCTCCAATAAAGGACCTAAAAGACAAGCATGTGCTTGAGATCGCAGAGTTTGCCGTTTCAGAGCATAACAAGCTAGTCAAATCCGATGCGGTACTTGAAAGAATCATTAAAGGCGAATCGCAGGTCGAAGACGGCACAGATTATCGGCTTGGTTTGGCGGTGAAAGAACGGAGGGCTGATGAGAAATATCAGACTGTTGTGAATGAGAATTCGGAGAATTTAGAGAAGACTGTGGAATCGTTTGTGCCTATTAACAGTTAAGAAAAAAATGTAATAGATGTGGTGAATTATTTTTTTCCTTTTCTTTTCCAGATATTGGAGATTCTAATGATAATAAGAGAGAGTTTGGTCTGTTTAAGAATAAGAATTATATAAAAAAAGTTCTTTTATATACATTCCAACCACTGAAAAAAAAAAAAGGCTTCCAGTTTTAGCACAACATGTCTTGCTGACGCTATAATAATTATAATTGTTAACGTCAGAAAGGTCAATGACGCAGGTATATTTTAATAATTGTCTATTCAATAGTTTGTTTTAGAAATTTTAATTTATGTAAGGTAATGGAAGAGAGGTATTTTCTTTTTTATCCTACTGCACCAAAGGCTCATATTAGTGTACCGTAATTTTATTAGATTCACAAAACAAAGATAACTATTTAAAAAAAATTTATATGTATAAAAATTTAAAATCGAAGATTACTTTTTTAAATGATCGAAGCATCTTTCATTCAGATCAACCTTCTTGAATAGAAAGCTATTTCTTTTATATAGATCAAAACTTACGAACTTTTGAATAATTTTAAAAAGATTAGTGGATGTATATTATATAGTTTTACTAAATATGGAGGCTTAAAATAACATGAAAGACCAAGATAATTCTGAAAACTTAACACCCTTTTCTTTATGTGCTAAACACCAGTAAAACCACAAAAGCATGCGTAGTGTAGATGCATAGTATTTTTGGTACGTTTATAATAATCAATTAATTCTTTTATGATTATTATTAATGTCTAGCTTCTATTTTTCTCTTTCAAATGGCTTTAGAGAGACCAATTAATCAATTCTCTTCATGGACCAACACTCTGTCTATATTTTCGTGGGCGGGCTTTTTGACTAACAAGGATATGTTACAAGATACATGGGCAATATTTAGACTTTTTTCCGTAAGAAAATTAATTTGAATGAAAAAATTTTTAATTGTTTAAAGAAATAAATTCAAATTAAAGTCTTTATATATGTAAATAACTCTTTAAATAATTGTTTTTGTCTTGTACATTCAACATAATAGTAAGAAATTAATCTAAGTTTTTGAGACTCGGAATACGTTTGAAAAAAATATATATTTAGACTTCCAAAAAAATTTAGGAGGTCTTGTTTATGGTTCTATGATCCATAAGAATTATCCTATATATTAAAGCAAAACGCTTTTCATCGTAGCAATGAACAGTGTTAATCATTGTTCATTGCTACGGTGTTTTTGTTTTTTTTTAATTTTCATTATTTTTTTTGGCTAGACCCGTTGCCTCCCATCCGTTCTATCGTTCATTTGAACAATGAACGACTTCCTGTTTTTTTTTTGTAAACATTGAATTTTTTTTTAAAATTTCCATCAATTTACTGTTCACATGAACAAGTAAACGACTTGCACCCTATTTTGTTTTTCTAAACATTGAATTTTTTTTTTAATTTCTGTTTCTTAATAGTATTTGGTGTTAAAATTTTAAAAGAACCAACAATTAATTGGGTGTTAAAATTTTAAAGAAACCAACAATTTATTTTCTTTATTATTTATTTTTAAAATTTAACAAAATAAATAAGAAATAGTTAAATACAAAATTTTTTATTAAAAAATTATGATTATTTTTTACCATAAAACAGATTATTAAATTGAAATAATTTTTCTAAACGATTTTATATATTTTATCCAACTGGCGACATAACGCAAGTAAAAAATCTAATATTATATACTAAAGAAAAACCATTTTTCATCGTAGCAATGAACATTGTTAATCATTGTTCATTGCTATATTACTTTGTCTTTTTTTGGTTTTTTAAGTTTTCATTTTTTTTTTTTTTGCCAGCACTCGCTGGCCTCCCCCCTCTTTTTTTTACTCGTTTATTGTTCATTTAAATGGTAAACGACTTGCCCTCTTTTTCTTTTTTTCTATAAACACTAATTTTTTTTAATTTCCATCCGTTTACTATTCACATGAACGAGTAAACTAGCTGGCCTCTTTTTTTTTTCCCTAAATATTGATTTTTTTTTTATTTTAATTTCTTAATAATATTAGGTGTTAAAATTTTAAAAGAACCAACAATTAATTGGGTGTTAAAATTTTAAAGAAATCAATAATTTATTTGCTTTATTATTTATTTCTAAAATTTAAAAAACAAATAAGAAATAGTTAAATATAAATTTTTTTCATTTAAAAATTATAATTATTTTTTTATCATAAAACAGATTATTAAACTAAAATAATTTTTCTATATGATTTTATATATTTTATCCAATCCGCAGCGTAGCGCGGTTAAAAAATCTAGTTAAGGCTAAGAGATTATCCAAATCAAGGAGAAGAGATTCTTAAGAATCTGAATTCTTTGAAAAAACAAAAACAAAAAAGACCAAAAGAGCAAGAAGGTAACAATATGTGCATGTTTGGTATTCTTGTGTTTTGAAAATACAACTGCTTTAGGTCTAAAAACAGTATTTGGTTAATATATATTTTGTTTTTGAAACCAAAATAGGTGTTACTTTTAAAGAAAATTGTTTTGCCTTTAGAACAAAACTGAGCACCTCTAATTTTTAACCAAAAACACAATATATTTTTTTTATAGTTAAACAATAATTTTTTCCTTATTTTTTTTTAAAGTACACATATAATAATATTTTACGTACATAATTCTTTTTCAAAATTCATTTTTTTATTTTATATAATTGATTTTCATCTTATTTAAGTTAAAAAAAATTGAGCTGAAGAATCACTCTCATAAAAAATATTCAAACACGTTATGAATTTAAAAAGTTATAAATCACTTAATATAAATGAAATATATTTATTAAAATATTTTAGCAAGTTATAATACTTACCAGTCTCTTTTATATTTCAAAAACATGACAAAAGAAATTTAACCAAATAATATTACTTATTTTAAATATTTTTAAGTACACCACGATAACTAGTTACTTAAAAACTAATTTTACCCCACAAACCAACTCATAGTTGCGTGTTTGGTTGGCTGGTCCTCAAGCGTGGACACGTGTTATAAGGCTTATTTTGTGAGTATATTACATATACAAATATATTCAATTAGAAACGGAAATTTTGTTCGAGGAAAAATAAAGTAAATTATAAATTAGACTCTTTAGTTCCAAGAAACCATTTAGTTGGTTTTTCTCATTTTAAAAATTATTATTTGATCTTTTAATTAGAATTGATTATACTTAATTTAATATTATTTTTATTTTATAAAATCTCTTACTCTGTCATCAATTTTTTTTATAATTTTTTCTTTCTCTATTTCATAAAATAAAAAATTAAAATAAATTAAAAAAAATAAAAAAATTAAATTACAAGTAGATTTCAAAACATAAAAATTAAATGATTATTTTTTGAAACAAGATAGACTAATTAATTATTTTTCTTAAAATGAGAGGGATTAATTTATAATTTACTCGGGAAAAATATTGGGGGTGGGGCAAGGTTAAGAACTTTTAAAAATTAGCATAGACATATTGTGACGCCCTCGGCTCCCTTACCTATTACCTAACGAGCGTGACCGGCGCGACATACTCGTTGGGACTAAGTCCACTACTTCCTCCATCGTACACAACGGAAACTAAACCATGGGAAACGTATAATATAATTTACAACATTATTACGGATAGTTCTATAATTTAAAACATATTCAAAATGCCTAAAAATTTACAACCTAGGCCCGTACCCCTTTTTATTGACACAAAAGATATTCCTATTTTTATGAGTGACACATGAGCCTCTTTTAACGAGAACCGATAGCATCCTCGATCGGCTTAACTTTGCCCTTGCTCGAACAACACACAAATACAATAACGAGAATGAGCCAAAGCTCGGTAAGTAGGGTGATGCACGTGATATGCAATGCTATTGTGTTTCCCATATTTTCATCCATTTTAATCTGGATACCCTAGGTATATGCAAGTCCGTGCGCCCAATCTCTCGGTGATCATGTTATCACCTATCGCTCTATTACTTTCTCTCGGTGATCTCAATATCACCTATCGCTCGCAACGGAATTATCCCTCGTTGTAGCACACGGTTAGCGAAATTATCCCTCGCTTAACGATGTTAGTAAATAGAGCTCGCACTATGGATTCCTTGCTATTGCCCAATCCACTCAATTCGGTTACCAAACCGTGTCAATTCAAGACTCAATGATTTTTCTCAATTTATTTCCACCCCCAATGTATATGATGCACGTGATGACATGTTTAATCACATTCAACCAAACTCGGGTACCAGCCCTTCTTTCTCAAGTCATACTCACGGTCCAACTATCACTCGGGATTCACTCGGCGCTCACATACCAATCATGGTACTCATAGCGGGAATACAACTTCCGCTCATTAATATTGTTTATTAGTTTCATTAATAATTAAAGAAGGTCCAATTCTTTTTTTTTTCTCTATGAAAGAATAAATTTTCTTTAAAATTTTAAAATCCTTTTTATTTCTATCTAAGTTCACTTATTTTAGCCTAAGCCCATTTTCGTTAGTCTAAGCCCATCTACTTTAAAACCAAGCCTTTTGATTTTAGCCCAAGTCAATTTTCAAGTTTATTTTATTTAAGTCCAAGCCCATTAACATTAATCCAAGCCCAAGTCCATTTGTTTTAATCTAAGTCTATTTTATTTTTAAATCCAAGCCCATCTCATTTTAACTCAAGTCCAAGCTCATTTATTTTAATCCAAGTCCAAGTCCATTTGTTTTAATCTAAGTCCACTTTATTTTTAAATCCAAGCCCATCTCATTTTAACTCAAGTCCAAGCCCATTAATATTAGTTCAAGCCCATTTATTTTAATCCAAGCCCAAGTCCATTTGTCTTAATCTAAGTCCACTTTATTTTTTAATCCAAGCTCATCTCATTTTAACTCAAGTCCAAGCCCATTTATTTTAATCCAAGTCCAAGTCCATTTGTTTTAATCTAAGTTCACTTTATTTTTAAATCCAAGCCCATCTTATTTTAATTCAAGTCCAAGCCCATTTATTTTAATCCAAGCCTAAG